CATCGTCTTAAATCCCATTGGGGCTATTTGCTCACCCCTTCCTGCTGGGCCCTTTCCGGCTATATTTATCCATATACCCACTCCTAGTTCAGCACGCAAACTTAGTTAATGCCTTCGTAAGCACCCCCGAGCCAGCGCCTGGGGTTCGTGTTTAGATCAAAGAGGTGCCGCCTGCACCCGCCCCTGTTGCGTTGCGGCCTCGGCAGTAGGATTATCTTCAGGGCCTTTTAGCAACTTTGCGTGCACCCTCCCCCTTTTTTCGGCTATCAGTCGGTAACGGTTCACTTGTATCGGGTCGGCATCTAGCCCTTTTTCTCCTTACCACAAACACTAAATTGAATTTTGAGTCAATCAATCTTGTGCCATCCCGGGTCCAATTATTATTTTTTACTCACTGTTACGATTGACCTGTAAATAAATAAATAATCAATCTTCCACAATCCTTTTTCTTATGAGAAAAAAATCACCGCTTTAGAGCCCCTATGGAGCACCCTCTGAAAAGCGTCATAAATACGAAGCCTTTTCCCGGATGTATAATCTTCCTCCTATCAGATTCGTAGTGGCACATGAATGAGATCCGAATAATATAGAGGGTTGCGACAGCCCAGTGGAGGAGGGGTGCTTCCATCCTTTTAAACAAGTTTGAAAACAAAGACAGGAAAGGAAAGTTGGAAAAACTGTCGTGCAGCACATTCGTCACGTAAATGGACCTCTTACAGAGGAAGAGCCGAACACTTGGCACCACTTTTGCTTTTCCATTTCTAGACATTGCTGTCGCAGTTAAAATTGAGTTTTCTCCCACGTACTACCATTTGCAGCCTCAGAATGCGCACGAGAAAGTAGCGTCACTAGCTTTATGTAGAAAAAAAATATCAGCTTCTCGATGATGATTCTGCAGACAGACTAAACTTCGAGTTTTGATTCATGGTCGTGGCTTGTTTGCTCTTTCATGCGGGAATAGAGAAAATGGTCTGATTCGGGGACCACCTCAGAAGAGCAAACTAATCACACAAAGGCAATAGGCGATTGCCAGGCAATACCCTTTTTATGGCTGAATGGTACCAAATATTAGGTTGGAAAGAAAGTCCTGCAACACTTTTTCAAATTTTTGATTTTAATTTTATCTTTTTTGTTTACAACTCCTGACCGGTCTTATATCTACCATGAGTGTCCACCACTTGTCTTCAACGCTCAGAAAATTTCTTGATGCTCCTTTTCCAAAACCCAGCGGAGTGCGGGTCGAGAAAGGAGGCGACCTCACTTTCGAGTTGGAGTTGATCGTCTAATTATTTCGTCATCAAGATGATGATTTAAGGTCCAGGATAGGTGGCAGTCATTTATAGCTCGACCAGGGGAATACGCTAAGAGAGGTAAGAAATCTTGCCGCAGCTCCAGAATTTCTTACCGGGCTCATTTCGGATCATGGTGATTCGCAATGTCATGAAAGAAATAATATTGTCGCGGTACGAGGGCTCCTGACGAGCTGCCTCGGCCAGCTTCTGGAGTTCCGCAGCCTAGACCTCTACCTACACAATGGTGCCCATAACGAAGAATTTGTAGTGGAGCTTCCGTAAGAGCCCTACCTGTAATGGAGTGTGCGGGACGCTGCTGGCTTCTTATAAAAATATCAAAAGATCGAAAGCGCTGGTAAAGGTGAAACACGCTGTAGCGGTGCGGCATGCCTATTGAAGCTATTGCAGATAGTGTCGGTCGTTGACACGAATCCATAGTTATGGAGACATTTGTACTAGACAGTGACTCGGAGTATGGATTTACTAGTGGTCGAGGTTTTTTGAATTTTCTTGGATAACTACTGACTGCAGCACTTATATCCACCTCGTGGATTGAAGCCTCGAGAATGCTCTACCATTTGTTAGTCATAAATGTTACCTATGAATTTTTCAGAAAAAAAGAAAATTTTAGAAAGAGTGTTGCAGAACTTTCTTTCCAACCTAATAATATCCGTCAGGCTCCTCCAGCAGCACAACTTCTGATAGTGGCTTCTCGCAAATGTCACCCTCGGTTTGAGATCGATTAAAACTAAAAATTGGCACTTATGGCAATTCGGTTCATTCAATAATATTCTGCGCTTTGTTATATAGTGGCTTAACATCATTCTGATGCTTTCATTGCTCTACTATCAGAGGACCTTCACACTTCTGAGGAAGGAGCGAAACGAACGAGTTAACTATTTTGTTATAATGTTTTTTTTTGATTGAAGTTTAGGGACCTTCCAAGATGTTCCTTACAGACTTCGAAAGAACTGGGTGATTTCCACCAGAAGTAAAGACCGGAATAATTTTAGTTGGATGATCCCAACAGAGCCTCAGTGGCACTCGCCGAAATATCAAGGATGCGTGTGGTTTCGCGTCACAAGCAAGTCTTTATCACATACCGAAAAATGAGGACTACTATCAAAGCGGAGCCGCGTCACATTTTGGCGAATAGATCAATACGCTAGGCATTTCACTTCCATTCAGAACAGTACAAGCGATTTCAATGCGAGTTGGCCTATACCATCAGTTGTGGAGCCAGTCGGTGAAATCTTCAGCTTTGTCTTGCCAGACAAGTCTGGTAGTCTGAGTCTCGAGCAAGCGAAGGAAACCATGATTGGCCTAGACGGCGTACAGTTCAGAAATCCCAGGACCATGGTGATCAATGCCACCTGCCACTTCGCCCCAAATACAATGGTTATAATCAAGAAGCAAAAGAACTCACTTAAACTTTGCAGTTCCAGCGAATAGGAAATAAAGGCGGTTGTTCGCCACTCACCGTGAAAAAAGCGCATGTGTACAAATACGGTGAAGCCTTGGAAAGTAAGGAAATTCCTTCTCTTCAGATAAACTTTGGAAGAATTAACCTGCTCCCAACAACCAACTCCAACACCGTCTTAGCGAGAAGTCCTTAAGACGAGGGAAAGAAGGTTAAGGAAGACTCGCTAGTTTGGTGGGCACTTATCATGGTGTTCGAAGTGGCCACTCGAAGTGAGATGTCCAAATGAACGTACCTGGTGCGCCTTCACACGTTTTTTTTTTCAAAGCTGTCTCCATGCAAATAAGCGACATTGCGATCGAAAGTAGGAATTTTTTGCCTTACGTTATGGGATGGGACGGTTGAGAGACTGACAGAACCAATGTCAGATCGGATTGGCTCGCGCACTCCTTTTGTTTTTTCAGTGAAACTCACTTGGCCTCAGTTCCTTCTGACGAAATCAACACTCGGCCTACGGCGAAGACCGTCTTCAACGCGCGGTCCGACAACATGTACGCATCCCACCTTAGTATCATCGACGGTTGTGACCGATGTATCGGATGAGCCTTCACCAACATTCGTTGACTCGCCTGTTGTGTGCTTGAGCTCAAGGAGGCCACCCCTACGGCTATCCCTTGTGATGTGCTCGACTACGCCCGTGAGGACACTAAAGGTGCAAATTCCTGACGGAGCTACCAAGCAATTTTGTGCTTAATAGTTCCAAGGAGATGGTACGGTCCGCAAGAACCTGCCTATCGAGTGCAATCCCCGAAGTCCCCGAAAGGAGCCACTCCCAGCAACAATTTCAAATCGAATTCGCGGGTAAAAATTGTTTATAATGAAGTTGTAGATGGCGAGTTGCTTACTAATAGAGAAAAAGCAAAGAAAATGCCGGTGGAGCCTTTCAACAGAGGCTTCCCCTCTTCCCCTTTGAAATGAAGTAAGAAGCATGTTGGACGAGTTGTCTGTACTAGCTTGCTTCGCCGGCATTTATTGAAATGCGGCTGCAATCACATTTGCACTAATGGAGACAAAGAGACACTATCTCCCACTGTCCCATACTAACAGAGAAATATGCATCAATAGAAACAAGGGAATACAGTAACTAGTTTAAGCAAGTAAATTCAATCAAAAAGACGCCGCATTCAACCACGAAACGCGGTATAGTTACAAGCAAGGGCCAGCATACCCTCGATTTCCACGGCTGGGGACAGGGGGTTGCTGCCTACAGTCAGACACGCCCACTTCGAAGGCTTTCAACTCTCATTCTAGCGGCTTTCCGAATTCAGTTTTTTTTTGTTTTGTGACACTACATTTGTTGGACTAGGACTAGTGCATCTTTTAACCCCGTTAGTATCTAGTCAACAGAATCTGCAAGTACTGCTGCATCGAAAATAAACCAACAACGGCACTTTGATTTTCAACAAAGCTCCCTTTGAACTTTCTCAATTTGACGCCATAATAGCCAGCCCACGAACGAGGCGGTTTCAGGCCAAGCGAGTGCGACACTCGTCCTTGGAAGGTCAAGCCATTCTTAAGGAAAAAGGTCGGGTCTAATCGAGACTTTGAGGTCCAGACTGAAAAGTGGGGCAGCCATGGGTGGTGATGCACCTCCAGGCGCCGGTACCTTCAACTGTGTGGCTGACGATTGCCACCTGTGTGTGCGAGAGACTCGCCTTGTTCGAACTTCACCCACAGAGGTAATTGAGTCCCAATCAAGAATATTGCAACCGCTTTCAGCATTGGCGCTATTTCATGCCGAAACCTTTCGCATCGGATTCATTAGAAATTTACGACTGGAGAATATTCAGACATATTGTATACGACTGTTAATCATTTTTTGTTCTTGGCCCTTGCATCATTTTCTTCTGCTGAGCACTAAATTACCTTCGTTGCGAATTTTCGACGAGTTTGGTGGTTAAGCCAAGGATGACCAGATATCCATAAGCGAATGACTAGAGCAGTTCCTCTGTTTGCAACCCAATTTTGGATATGACTAGGTTTCTTTATCATGCAAAAGTAGTGCTGTACAGAGCACTTCTGACAGAATATAAAAGTCCCGAGCACCGAGGATCTAAAACTGGACTTGCAGACCAGTAAGCTAATCCATCCACCCACACTACGTGTGCTTTCCGTATTCGTGCCGAGTTTGAGTCTTTGACTTTGTCAAATGCTTTTGTGACTCACAAGGGAAGGATACCAAGTCGAAGTGGCCATCCGTAATGAAACCTATACTCAGAGATGTGTTTTCGGACGCTGATCTCGAATCCACTCTCCAAATTTGCGAAACGATTCTCTGAAAAGTGTTACGGAGGTTGTTTCGAATGGAAGCCCACTGTAAGAGACTCCGGCAGAGCAATCTTCCAGCGGCGGCTTGGCCGAGTGGTAGTGTTGGCGGCTTGCAGTGGTGAGACCATGGATGGGATCTTGCTGGGCACGGAGTTTTTGCTCTTTGTAATTAGGTCTGTTTTAAGTATGAAAAATCATTCAGTGGTGAAATTTACACTGCGTCCAAAGCTATCACGTGTTTAGCGGGTTTGCTTCAAGCATCATCCACTTTTGCCGTAATGTTTCCGACCACCGTCGGGATGTTTCTACGCCACGGAAGGTGACGTATCTCCGACGATGGGCTAAACAAATGGGAGATGCTTGCTCAACGGACCAAACTATCTTTGAAGGCTTACTTCTAGAAAGCTGACATTTGGACCCAATCGAAACTTGGTCCACAATCAGTCGTTGGTGCTACCCCTAGTCCTAGCCACTACCCTCGTGCTACCCTGCCATAAACGGCAATGAGCTTGTACCCGAAAAAATACCATACAATCTTCGGATGGGGCAAGCAAGTGAAGCATACACGCGTATCTCTTTCGCACTAATGATTGAAAGTTCATTTACATCTCAGGCTCTGACAACGGGTTGATGGATAGATGACTACCATTTTTGACTTAACACGTTGACGACAGCGTGACGCGGTAACGCGTCCCACCCAAGTCATCCCTTTTTCTTGCGCTTGTGCGACTTATTCCTAAGGTCTTTGTACTCATTCTATAGGTCATACATTAGCATACTTAAAAACCACATGGCTCACAGAAAGGCCAAATATTCTTTAGTTTGGCAGACGTTTTCCAGACCTTACGGATATGTCTGTTCAGTTCATTCCTCGTTTTCTTTTCAATAACGTAGACATGTTGATAAAAAGGAATAACAGAAGTGAATACAAACCTATTCGTATGGGAAGATATGTGTTTTTACTGAAACAACCACGTCCAAATTAATTTTGGAACCACTAAAGGGAAATTAAGTAAAATTTCCCTTTTCATGGCCTTAACACGTCATTTCGGTCAAACTTCCATTACTGTAACTCCTGATAAGCTAGACAGATCGAACATCATTGAAAACATTTCATCGCATCTAAGTATTGCGGATTTACAACTTAAAATCCATGGATTTGGTGTGCGGCGGCTGCGCTCGCAAAATCGCTCTGTCCCACAAGGTGCAAAAGCACAAATCGTCAACGTGTTAAAGTCAAAGTTTTAGATTTGGACCAAAAGTTGTTGAAAGGGATATCTTACGCGTTGAGCACGAATCCCACCTCTGTTTGGCACGAAAGTGCCTGTCGCATGCGCTACGGGTGCCAAGGGCGATAAATCAACCTATCCAGCTTTGCTTCTTACAGTGCATTCGCAGGATCTCACCCTCACCAACCTCCTGTTTTCCGGCAATCTCGACAGCTTCTTGGGGAGAAAAAGATTTGAAAACCGAGACATGATGGAAAAGACCTTGGCCGATATTTGAGCTTCTATTGTTCCTGTATCTCAAGTTCGTTAATTAAACCAGTACGCTTCCTGTTAAGAAAAATGAGTAGTTTCCAACACTTTTTTGAATTACTGAAAATGTTGAGTTTGAGCTGAGATATGTTGCTTTGAAGACGGAGGTCAAAAACCCGGCATTAATTTCCGGACAACCTAATATTCGCCAATGTTGCACAGTGTTCGAAGCTCTTCGCCAGCTCTTTCCACTTGTGATATAGGCAATCGCTGATGACTTAGCATGGATAAGAGTCCCTTAGCAATGTCTCAAGGAAAGCAAAAGTGAGAACTCGCCAAGAACTCGATCTCACGACCTCTTGTCGTCGGCCCGGGCCGCTGCCACTGCACTATCTCGCTTCATAACTACGTTCAGAGAATCGTTCCGCAGATTTGGAGAGCAGATTCGAGATCAGCGTCCAAAAACACATCTAGTGGTGTATGTCTCGTTACAAATGGCCACTTCGACCTGGTATCCTTCCCTTGTCAGTAGATACGGCATACAACTTGAGAGTAGTCTTACAGCTTACATAAGGTTGTATTCGAGGCAAATAAAATGCTATCCATTTCTTGCTTATCAACGTTTTTTTTCGATACTGCTAGGATTTTGCCCAGCTCCAACTAATAAGTTTCACTTGATTACGGGTTCATCTGGTTGCTACCAATACTGTTTGGGAGGATAAAGACAGTGACTTTGATATCGACGGGATCCTGCTAGTCGAATTTTAGGTAAACTCCATGCAATTTTTACTCGAGTCCAAATGGAAATTAAATGCGTCGCTCATCCCAGAAATTGGTTGAACAGTGTCGCATGCTCCATCTTTATCCATTTATCGCAGCTTTGTATCTACGAAGTGGTGAAACGCTCACCGGAGGTCCTGAGTCGTAGCATTTGCAGTTGTTTTGATTATTCAAAAAGGCAAAGCAGGCCAATATTTCGCTCCATGTTGCAACATTCCACTATTTCGTTGATCTTTGGATGTTACACTGAAAGTACAACAGCATCGTTTCTGCAATGATGTTTTGGTAACAGCTTAGAAGGGCGTACGGCAAGGTGATCCAATATCGCCGAATCTGTTTTCGGCTTGTCTAGAGCACGTCATACGTCGCTGCGAGTGGAGCGACTATGGCGGGTCTGGATGAGGTAGGGAGCCATTATAGTCAAAGTGAGGCTAAACCCATTCTCAGGCAGCGCTCCCGTACTTTTGAAAGGAAGTCCCATCGAAGACGTTGACGAGTACGTGTACCTCGGGAGCCAGCTTAACATGAAGAACGACCTGGCTGGAGAGCTAGCAAGACGTCGCAAAGCTGGATGGGCTGCATTTTCTTTCATAGAAGACACCAAGGACCGCAAACTTCGAGCGGACCTTTTCAACTCAACGGTGTTGCCTGCCCTCAGCTATGCAGGAGAAACCTGGGCACTAACGAAGTCACAGGAAAGGCAATTACTATCTACCCAGGCATCGATTGAACGCCGTCTTCTGGGTTTGACGTTGAGTCGCCAACGAGAGCTGAAACTTCATAATTCCGACGTCAGAGCCATGTCACAAGTCAAAGATATTCTTCTTCACGTCGATGAAGCACACAGATTCGCCGGACACCTGATGAGGAGAGATGACGGACGATGGAGTTCGGCTACTGTGCGATGGTACCCGCGCGAGAAGAAACGGCCGCAAGGCCGTCCTCCTTTACGATGGGCAGATTCTCTAGCTCATCGAAACAACATCTATGATCCAGAGTCCTTTAGGGTGACCACAC